GCTCTTACTTACCGCCTACTCGTCTTGTTTCTCCGCGGCAAACTCGGTTTTTGCGAGGTGTTTTATTTTTACTCGAAAATATTGCTGGGTTGAAAAAAATCCTCGTTTCAGCGAACTGTCCCCGTTATCAGCAGAGCGCTGAAAATTCGAGGTCCACAATCTTATGTCTGTGCTCGCTCCGAATAGGTCGCGTTATCCTGGGCTCGTGATTTACTGCCATGCTTAAGAAGAACGTCGTATGAACCTTCAGGCGTCACCAAATTTCTATTGATAAAACACGAATTTTCTGGTAAACTCACTAATATTTTCCTTCCAATTTCTCTTATAATTTTGTTCGCAATTTTACCAAAAGTTCCTGAAAATTTCAAGGAAAAATATTAATAACTTCCCTAAAAAATTACACATTTTATCGAAGGAAATTTGGCAACCCTTGAATGTTCATATGGCGTTCCTCCTTAGCACGGCAGTTTAGACATCTATATATCAGGCCAGCTTTAGCTTTTCTTCGTAAGTTTATCTTTAAACATCCATCTTATTGTTTCCTTTCGCCTATACCCTATTTTCTTTTCTTATCCCTCAAGGTATTTTTTTTTTGGTCTGCATTGATTCCTAAATCCAACTCACCCTTCCACGTGTTGATGCAAAAGCACATGGTTGTAGGAACTATCTCGCGTATATCCTAGGCAAGGTATTGATGTCCCTTCAAAACCACTTGAATACCTTGAATTCGACTATAAGAGGGTCGTATATCCCTTAAATAAGGCCCGTGCGAGAACGTCAGTTGTCCAATACTGTGTCTCGGAATTTCAGTGGTTGATTTCGTAGTAACTTAAAGACACAAGATGGTTTAAGACTTTAGAAATGTAGAACAATTTTAAAAAACAAACCCCCTAAATATAATCAAACGTTTACTAAAGAGATCGATTTTATTCAGCTGTGTCATGGGGCAAAAAAGTCACTGCATGCAATTAAACTCTGCATTGGACAACGGACATTTTTGCACGAGTCGATATTCGATTACAATGTAATTGCTATGTAGGGTTGTTGGGGCTATTTTAGGAGGAAAGAGCCTGCTAAAAGAATGAGTACGACCTTGAAAAAGAAGAAAAGAAAAGACGAAGAAAAAGAAAAAGCTGGAGAAGAAGAAGAAAAAGAAGAAGAAGAAGAAGAAGAAAGGGAAAAGAAGAAGAACACGGAGGAGGAGGAGATAGAGAAGGAGAAGAAGAAGAAGACGAAGAAGAATAAGAAGGAAGAGGAAAAGGAGGAGAAGGAGAAGAAGGAGAAGAAGGAGTTGAAGAAGAAGACGACGAAGTAAGAGGAGGAGATAGAGAAGGAGAAGAATAAAGAGGAGGAGAAGGAGAAGAAGAAGAAGACGATGAAGTAGGAGGAGGAGATAGAGAAGGAGAAGAATGAAGAGGAGGAGAAGAAGAAAAAGAAAAAGAAGACGAAGTAGGAGGAGGATATAGAGAAGGAGAAGAAAAGCAGAAGGAGAAGGAGAAGAAAAGAAGAAGGAGAAGGAGAAGAAAAGAAGAAGGAGAAGGAGAAGAAAAGAAGAAGGAGAAGAAGAAGGAGAAGGAGAAGGAGGAGGAGAAGGAGGAGGAGAAGAAGAGAGAGAAGAAGTGGATAAGGAAAAGGAGAAGAAGAAGAATAGAGAGGAGGAGAGGAAGAAGACGAAATATGGAGGTACACTTGAAGGTGGTTCGATTTGCGGTATAAATCCGACAACTTTCTCACCCTTGCGTTCGTGCCGTGGCCAGGAGGCTTATCAACAGTTGGCTCGTATTCAGGCTCATTGTTATTTCAATGGCGCGGACGGCGGGACGGATGTGCTTGGCCGCGCCGCGACGCCACGACGACGCCCGACGCGACAGCTTAGATATGCAGACCACAATCCAGGAGTGGCCCACCGCGCCGCCCCGCGTCCAAAGCGTCACGTCACGTCACGTCACGTCTGGTCGACTGGACCGCGGCTTTTCCAATTTCGATAGGAATTCCAATTGTTGGCTTTTAGCGCGTGACGACCTTTCTCATTTTCTACCTCTCGATACCCGTGCCCGCGCGCCTCCGAGTCTGACCAGTAATAAATAACCTAGGGCCGGGGTGGAGGTCGAGGGGAGAGAGAATGGAACGCTTCACGGTGGCGATTTCAGCAAGTTGGCACCACTGTTACTTCTCAATTCGAATCCATTGAATACATCGATTCAGGCTGCCTTGCCTGGATTCCATTGTTTAATGTATATTTAAATGGAGAAAAAATACTGTTGCCAACTTTTGAGAATCTCTACTTTGAGAATCTGAACTTTTTTTTTGTTTTTTTTTTTTTTTTTTTTTTTTGAANTTTAATTACAGAGGAGTTACAGTTGAGTTACAGTTTATAATTATGAATAAAAATTAGAAAGATAAAGATATGTATTTAATTACAGAGAAGGAGGAGAAGTTAATTGAAAGTATATCCAATTGAAAAAAAAAAATCCGAGAGAGACGTATGAGGGGCAGAGTAAAGGAGGTGGAAGTGCCTTAAGCATACCATCAGCAGAAAAGGCCCCAAATAGGAGCTAAGCATGGGGAAATTTATAGAAAGAAAATTCCTTGTCACGCTAATGAGCTGGGCTAAGTCAGAGCACCCATCCCAGGCGTGCCAAAAGGCATTTTAGGAAAAAAAAGGGTGCCGTCTGAACTTTTGAGGGAAAGAATATAGGCTTCGCAGTGCCGCCCCGCTGAGGAAAAACGCCGTGCCTGTGAAGAGTGGTGCGGGCTGATTATTGAAATTTATTCATAGACAAATGCAATAGGCAAAGAAGACGAAAAGAATATGAAGCGATCCTATATTCATTGAAATGGGTGGTTGATATAGACTAAGAAGGGAAGTTATGGGCTAAGTAGATAGGGTCGCACTTCTTTATTTCATTGCAACCATCCACTTCCAACAAAATGCGCTCTCTCTATTTCCTCATTATCTATCGCTTTGTCTATCAATTTTAATGATCACCACTCTTGCACTGAGGAAAAACGCCGTATGAGCCTTCAAACCTCTTTCAAAGTTTCCCCATAATTGTTTTTCTTTTCTTTTTTGAATGAACTTTTGCACATTTCCCCTTGATATTTTCCTAAACCTTAGATTCAATCATTCTGTGTTGTGTCGAATCGGGAACTTCATGGATCACAGTCTTTTAACACTCGTATAATAATATGTCAGTGATTTTTATTCAATGAGTATAAAAGTACTCTCTATCATCAAAAAAAGTGGGAGTTTTTGGGTATTTAAGCTCTAACTAAGTGCTTGACGACCACATAATGAATTTTGCTATCAACGAAAATATTGAACTGATTAAACTTTTGATTTTTTTCATTTTTCGGTAAAAATTCACCGTCTGTATTTTGCAAACAATAGAAAATACAATAATTTCATTTTTCATGAGTTGTTTTTGGATTTTTGATTACATTTGACGTGCTTTGTATTTAATTTTGATGGAAGAATGTACCTATCTTGTCGAATTAGACGAAAGAGGGCGTTAATCATCTCCATCGCAGCATTCACACCGATTATATAATATTTCTTTGATCATCGGGTGGAAAGTTTTTAGCAACGGAGTTACATGAATGAAACGTACTCTTTTCCACAGAATTCGAACTCATCTTTCTGCCTGCTTTGATAACCCTGAGCTACGGAATGCAGGTTTATTAACGTCATTCTCAAACTTCTGGGCTGAGAACTTTTCAAATTCTTTTGAGATACTTTTTCCAAACCTCTGGCCGAAAGTTACTTAGAAGTTGCTCATCTCTCCTTGCTTCATTATGTTGATGGTGCCTTTATTTTTCTTCATTTCAATAATTCCAATTTAATAGGTGATGTATTTCATACTCCTTCTACGGAGAGGCTCTGAATTATTTATTCCACAAAATTATTTTATGTACCTCTTAAAAAGTCCTCGACTCAGAACTTTCCTTTTTTTTCTCTTGGAAAATACTTTAAACCGCAACAGATCCAAAAGAAAAGGAGTAATTTAGCCAGTAGCTCATTTTTTCACCATGTTTTTTGATTCCTGAGCATGAAAAAAAAATACTGTCATTATAAATGAAGGCGTAACTTTTATTTGCTTAACACTCATTTTAACGTTTTTTAACATTTTCAACTCATTTTAACATTGTTTCGTATTAAGCGAAAACGAAGGCGCTCTGCTGCGATTGTTCAAGTTACATGTTATGAAACTTATACAATCATACTGAGATTAACTAGCTTATTTTTCATTTAATTTCGGCATGCTTAGATTGGTCAACAGGCCGAGCATGGTTGATGACACCAAGCAAAAAGGATAATAGGATATACCCTGCTTGATTCGTTTGTCTTAATTTGCCCTGAAAATCGATACCTAAAGTTTACAGCATTAACCTCTGGACATCTTGTGAATAATGATCGGTCAAAATAAGCTCTCAAAAGCTGAAAACCCTCAGAATGCACTGGAAAGAAGGAGCTTGGATCTAGAGTCCAGACTCTTAATAACATTGACAAGAGAAATACTCTTGATTCAATTCGATTTTTCCTTGAATCGAAGAGCCGAGTCTCCTAATTTAGGCGGATTTCCTTTTGATTCAAGCAAAAAGTCTGATTAAATTACGAGCATTTTTTCTTGGCAATGTTATTAAGAGTCAGGACTCTACACTGGAAAAAAAAACACATTGGATCTGAAGTCCGCAGACTCTTAAAAACATTGACAAGAAAAAATACTCTTGATTCAATCAGATTTTTGCTTAAATCAAAAGGAAATCCGCTCAAATTAAGAGGCTTGGTTCTTGATTTAAGCAAAAATCCGACTGAATCAAGAGTATTTTTTCTTGTCGATGTTTTTAAGAGTCTGGACTCTATAGACCCAATGTGTTTTTTTTTCCAGTGTAGGTACAAGCTATTTTTTTATCCAGTGTGCGATAATTTTGAACAGTGACCGAGTTACGGCTCTTTTTCTAACGGATCATGTGAAAGTGTTTTTCTTTTTTCATTCCAGGTGTTCTGTACGTGTCTCGACTTCTCGAGGATAAAGGCGAGTGGATTATCGTCGATCAGGTGAGCCATTAAACTTTTTTATCGCCTTTTTCAACTTTTATTTACATTGAGAGACCCTCTAGCGTTACGTCCCTCAATCGATTCATGTAGGAGTGAAGCTCAAGCGATCGTTCCATAACGGTGGCTCAAGTCCAAAGGCACGATTTAGCATTGCGACGCACAGTGGGTCGGGTCAATAGGAGAGGTCGGACAACATTTGGAAACTTTAAAAACTTAAAACTCCGCTTATACAAACTTTTGAGGTTCTGAAAGTTGTTCCATCGGTTTTTCTTGGGAAATTTTCTTCTAAATCTACCCGTTAAAATTTAACCTGTAACGAATTAAACACCAAAAGCAGTTTTAGTCAACAATGTCATGTCCGGCCCCTCTAATTGACTCGATCCACTGTATTTCCACAAATTTATTTTTCATTTTTGTTAGATACTCACAGAGGAAATTAATAGTCTTGTTCTCAAAACAAATTAAGGAGTTTATTATTCATAAGAATGTTGTGACACACCCTTGAAAATGTTTCAGAGATAATGTATTGTGCATTAAAACCAGTGGCTGACATTTAAACGAATGTGATCCAAATATAAACGGTAGGAGAGAATGGACCGCTATTATTTCATAACATTTAAATATAAGATGTTTCTCCTCAAAATATCGTGCAAAAACCAAGGCACAAAACCGGAAGTTCAAGAACTAATTCCTGGACGAGATGTCATATTTTGAACATAGATCTAATGGAAGTTACAAATTAGGTATACAGGTCATGTCATTTTTTTAATTTTGGTTTTTAGGTTTTTTTTGTTTAAACATTTTAATTGTGAACGCTTTTACTCTGCTTAGGGTTGATTTTTAGAATTTTCGTCAAGAGTTTCGCTTTTCTTGCCAAATTATGAAGCAAAAATATGTTTCATGATTCTTTAACAATTTTTAAACCTCGTCTGGAGGCCCATCGAAAAACACATTTTCATTCGGTTTCCTTCCTTCGAAAATAAATTGTTCATATATATCTTAATTGCTCTAAAGTTTGTTTTGATGACAATACAATACAAATACACGCGAAAAACGGCGGAGGGGTCAAAAATAAACCAATTGACTTAGACATTTTGAAGCTGTTCCATAAGTTTCAAAGGTATTGGCTCTTAATTTTAGAATTTTCCGAATTTCTTCTTGCTTTTACCGCTCATTTCACGGAATATGTTGCAGCCCATAATATTACCTAAAAATTGATGAAATGCGTCGAAAAGACATGATGAAATACGTCTAAAACACATGATTAATATGGGAATCTATGTGAGGTGCTGAAAACGACCATTTATGAATTAACCACTTTGCTCTGCCGTAATGAATGGGTTGCATAAAATAATCCTAAACAACACATAATACCCGGATGCAGCGTGAACTAACAGGTAGATAAAAAACCATGTAACTGCATGTTCACGAGAACGAATATTTTCAGCTCTGCGGGAGGGAATTATTTTAGCTTTGAATTAAATACCAACTAGTGGCCAGGAAAGGTGAGAGGTTATATCGTCGTTACTGTTACCTACGTAAGGGCTATTTCGATTTTAACTTGAGCCCTGTCGTCCAAAAGACTTCATGCTTTCTGCGGCTCATGCGAGTAAAGAGATACGCCCTTACGTCAGAGGAACGACGATATATGCGGAAATATGATGTGAATGGACTCGGTTCCTGGTGGAGGGGGGGGGCACTCTGGCCCCTTCTCACGGGATGGGTAAGGCTTTAAATTTCTGCGGCGGGAAACGCGCGGTGAATTGAAGGGAGGGCGGGTGAGAAGTGCAACCATTATTTTTCATTTCTTCCCACAGGCGTCATTCCGTTTGATTTATAATCCGGCCTTTGAATTATGGCTATCATCCTCTTTCCTCGTTACTCTCTCCCAGGTATTTTATGATAGAGCTGTAATAGCCGAGCTCAATAAATGAATTTAAATATGTCAGAAGCCTATTTGTCAAATACTCCCGATTTGAAGTTGGTGCGTTTAGAACTTTGTATTGTAACTGCTCCTTTTTTTTTTTTTTTTTTTTTTTTTTTTTTTTTTTTTTTTTTAAGACTATTTTTTTTGTTTGGTTCATTTAAAAATGCTCAACTTGCGAACTCGATTGGAGCATTCGTTTGTTCTTTCCCATTGATTCTTTACATTTCACCGAGTAAACCTTTGAGACCACGCTGATGACGTGCGAAAAGTCATTTGACTGAAAATAATGTATGATATGAGTCCACGGAGAGCCATGAAAGATAGATTGCAAAAATCAGTTTTCCTCATCCATCAATAAATGCGTCTCAATTATACAATATTTGACTTGCATTGGGAGCTGTGATAGAGTTGTGAGTTTCAATAGCACTCTCTCGTCGTATATGCTGACAATGTGCCTCAAAGGAGTGTAAGCATAAAATGCTCACGACTTTTTTAAAAATTTCAGAACCCACACTAGCCCATTCAAAACTCATCAGCCCTTGAAGAAAACTGAGAGAGAAACAATTCTAAAAATGTTTTGTTTCATTTTTATCGAGCAGGTTAAAGAGAATATAATTATTCATGGTGCATAAAATCTCAAGTTCATGATATGGAGCTGAATTTGCTGCACGAAGATTATTTCTCACAGAAGTGCCATTTCTGTTCCGGTGTATTACTGCCTTTTGGAAGTCTCTGTCGGAGAGCGTCTCTTTTCCGTGCCTCTTTTTCATTAATTTTTCCTCGTATTCAGTGTTCTAGCGTCACAATATTTCAGAGTCCCAACTGTTTGTCAAGTTTTCATCGCCAATAATCTGTGTTTTGGTGTGTCAGTGTGTCAATAATCAGTGTTTTTAGTGGTTGTATTGTGCGGTAATAGTGGGGAGAATGGTAAAGACAGCGACGATGGTAGTGATGACGCTACTGGTAGTGGTGCGGAGTATAAAGTCGTAGGTGATGGTGATGACCAATACTGCTTTGCTAAGGAAGAGCACTCGAGAGTTGCCAAATTTCCCTCAATTAAATATTCATTTTTGAGGAAAGTTGTGAATTTTTTCCCTTGAAATTTTCAGGGACTTTAGGTGAGATTGCAAACAAAATTATCTAAAATGTCGGAAGTAAAATATTCAAAGGTTTACCAGGAAATTCGTGTTTTATGAAAGAAAATTTGGCATCGCCTAAAGGTTCATACGGCGTTCTTTCTTGGCACGGCAGAACTGTTTGAACTGCACCAGTTTGAACACCGATGTGTTCATTTGTTCAAATACAAGGCAGAGAGAGTATGAGTGACTGAAACTCACGCGGGGCAACATGTGGTCGTAGACCACTATTGATATTAGGTTGGGTGCCTTTGTTGTAGTGCATTATGCATTTACTCTCTTGAACGGTGGTACATAGTGCGCTGGGTCCGTTCCGATGCTGCTTTTGCCAATTCAATCGTCTAAACACGGCTCAAAGACGAGTATCACGTTCCAGCTCAAATAAAACGGAACTAACAGCACCTTCGAGTTCCGATTGCCTCTCGCCCAGCCAGGGGTTTACCACAACGTCCCTTTATACCTTTATCCCAGTCAAGGGCTCTGCTAACGACTTTTAGCTTGCTTACTGGTGAAGTTTTTGATCGGAAACACGGTTGCAATGGATTTTTCGATAAGGTAATAAAATAAACACCATTATTCTTGTTTCCTCATTAAAATTTGAGTACAGTGCGTTGGATACGTTGAACATTTCCAAATTAAACTCATAAGGGGAAGAGTTCCTTTTTTTATTCGAAGAATACAATCGGAAAATTTTAGCAGAATTTTTCCAGACAAGTTTACGATTCTTAGACATAATAAATTGCTTTCTCTAAATCTGATTGGAGCTACTTTTTTCTTGAGCTTCCTCGCTAGCGGGTAATAATTTGAATCGGATAACTCTCTTTTACTGCACAGACGCTAATTTTTCTGTTAAATGCTAATTTCAGAAGTTTTTTCATTTGTTCTATATTCGTATATTTTTATATTCGTATATTTAGCGTTAAATTTCGACGTGGAATCGCGTCTTGCAGCACTTTACACGGAAACCGACTATATTAACTTTCCGGACGATTTCAGCCCGACTACAGAACTAGATAATTATTTGACCCCACATATAGACCTAGATGGGTAGTCTTGCTTCAGGTTGCATCAATTAAATGTAAAATTAAATCAACCAATTGAAATACTCGGAAAATTGGCCCCTAATCAATTTCTGGTCCGTTCGGGACAAATTTCTCTTAGTCCAAAGATGTTTCATTTGCAGTTCCTAATGGTAATTAGGCAGTCCATTTGCAATGCTAACCAAACTTCAATTGTTTAATAAAAGGGTAAAATTGTTCTTTCATTGATAACTCTGTACAGTTTAGAGCTGAACATGGTTCGGTTACAACTACGAGTTACGAGCGCTTTGATTAGCAAGTTTCATTAATGATGTGTCCAGGTTTGTTAGCTTATTTCAATTATCCAATTACCTTGAATACATAGTTGCGTGCAATTTTGGGAGCTAGTTAAATTAGGAATCTTGTTAGAATCATGCGCCTTCCATGTTGCCGTAAAAGTATCAAATGGTTATGAAAATGTAATCGTTATTCAATTTCTCGTTTTCAGGTATTAATTTGTTACTTACTGAAACTGATGCTTGAGACGGAATGGAGTGTTTGCCAAAAAGTGCATGTGCTACGAATTCAAGTTTTGGCGATTGTATAAAGTACCCACGCGATATTGATAATTTTGGATTTGTTTTGAAGTTCTTAAATAGGATGCATCACCTATGTGCAACTTATTTTCCGACCGAAGATAGGCTTTTTAGAATAGGAAGCTACAAAAAATACACATAATTCTTCCGCACACGGAATGACAGAGAATCGATTTTAAACGCTGTATTCGGCCTCGTCGTGACGTTTGGAAGATTTTACATAAAGTACGATCCATCTACTTGCACACAGCTCTTATTTAATTAAAAACTTCGAAATATTGAACTTTAAGGCTTTGTAGGTCGATCTCTGCCACTCTGTATC